GGAGAAGGGTCTAGGCCCGAAACATCAGCCTTCCTGCTCCTCTGATGCTGCTTGGCCTGCTGTGTTCATCCAGCTCTACACCTTGTTATCTCAGATTCTCCAGCATCTGCAGTTCCTACTATCTCTGAACCCATGGATAAGTCTGATTTATATTTTCTAAGGGTACGGCCATCAGTGGCTCAAGAGATGCTTTCCAGCTGGACAGGCCATTGCCTTTTACTGAGGACAATCAAATGTCATAGGGGGATTAATCAATGATTCCTCATGGGCCTTTCACAGAGAGGTTGTGCATAATGGATGGCTGGTTTAATGCTGCTAAAATTACTCCCCAGGAGTTCTTGATCAGAAATGTATAGAAGTTTTGAAAATGAAGTGTGAAGAGAGAAAGAGGGTGATAGATGTTAGGACACATTTTTTAAAGCATGGGTTGTTGGAGCATTGCGAATGAAATGATTGGTGTAGAAATAAAAACATCTTTTAAAGGAAGTGTACGTACTTGTATAAAGCAGAGGAAGGTGCCAGACTGTGGTTAGCAAGGCAGGCAGATTTGTTTTACAATAAAATTATTCTTTTTTAATCAATCTTGGTTTATAACAAATCCTCAAAAAATTTCAGAAAAGCCACTTTGCTATAAGTTTTTATGACAAATAACAAAATACTATCTGGTTACTAATAACTAATGATAATGTTATCAGCACAATCTGAATTCAGAGAACAGCTAGACCTTTGAGGAATTACGAGGCTGGTCAGAAGAGGTTATGATTAGTATATTTATTTAACTTTTGTGAAATTCCTTGTGTGTTTGTGTGGAGAAACAGGAAATAAGGTCCTTTGAGTGGAATGTTGGCCTTATCTCAAGGGGATATGAAAACAATAGTTTGGATGTGATTCTTCCATTGCACAGAGCTTTGCTCAGATCTTAGCATGAGTTACTACATGCGGATTTGAAAACCATACCTCAGGAAAGATAAATTGGTCTTTATTCATGCAGGGACTAATAAAAAAGATGTGTTTATGCAGGACCTTTTTACAAATGCAAATACAAATGCAACTACTTCGCACTTAATGAAGTAGTTTTGAAGTGTAATGCTCAATGTAATATAGGAAACACAACTGCTAGTGTGTGCACAGTAAGCTCCCACGATGTGATAATGTCCAGATAATCTGTTTGAGTAATTTTAATGAGGAATTAATTTTGGTCAGTTCACCCCAACATTTCTACGAAATAGTGCCATAGGATCTTGTACATCCATCCGAGAAGGAAAACAGCTTAACATAAAGATGGCATCTTCCACAGTGTAGCACTTTCTCAGTTCTGCACTAGATCATAGAATCCTGTTAGTGTGGAAGCAGGCCATTCGGCCCATCAAGTCCACACCACCCCTTTGAAGAGAGTCATACTGAGACCCTGCCCCCTACCCTATCCCTGTAACCCTGCATTTCCCATGGCTGATTCACCTAGCCTGCACATCCCTGGACAATATGGGCAATTTAGCATGGCCAGTACACCTAATCTGCACATCTTTGGACTTTGGGAGGAAACTCACACAGACATGGAGAGAATATGCAAACTCC